CCAAGAATCCAAGAATCCAAGAATCCAAGAATCCAAGAATCCAAGAATCCAAGAATCCAAGAATCCAAGAATCCAAGAATCCAAGAATCCAAGAATCCAAGAATCCAAGAATCCAAGAATCCAAGAATCCAAGAATCCAAGAATCCAAGAATCCAAGAATCCAAGAATCCAAGAATCCAAGAATATAGGAATTTTGAAAGAATTGAGATTCTCGGAGTCTTGGGATTTTTGGGATTCTTGGGATATTTGAGATTCTTGGGAATTTTTCAAAATATTCGGTTTTCAGATACTTCTAGAATTCTCGATTCTTGCTGATTCAATTTCTAGATGTTTACAGTATACGTGCTGGTTCTCAGCTTCCTCGAATTCTGCTTTTTTTTTCAGATTTCTTGCATTTCGGTCCCCTTTTTCTATTTTCTCACATTTTGAACTATTTTCCTCTCCAGAACTACACATACTACTATCATCCTCTTGCTAATACCTATTTTGCCCTCTCTCCATTTTTCTTTTCTTTACTATTTTTCAATGAATAGAGTGTGGGAGGAATTAGTACCCCATTTTCTAAACACCCTTTCCTCTTTTTTTTGGAGAGAGAGAGAGGGAAATGATTAGAAAGTGGTGAAAAATGAAGAAGACCGGATTAGCATAGTACTATTTGGAAAATGAATGGGTTTCTTAAAGATGGAATTTTGAAATTTTTGGGTAATTTTGGGGGATTTAAGAATTTAGATATTTCTGAGGAATCTATGAAAAATTAGGAATCTGAGGATGAAAAAAAAAACAGAAAAATTCCTAATACTAAAGATTAAGAATTTATCTAAAAGTTTTTTTGAAAATTTGAGAAGCCAGAAATGATGAATCCAAGATTCTAACCTCTAAACTCTAAAAAGACCGTAAATTCGAAAGTGGAGTTCTAGAATCAAGACTTCCCAAATTTTGAGTTTTCGAATTTTCTTATAATCCAAGGATTCTAAATCCCAAACTTCAGAATTTTCGGATTTCTCGAAGATTCTAGATCCCAAATTTCAGAATTTTCTGATTTTCCAAGGATTCTCTAGATCCCAAATTTTCAGAATTTTCAGGTTTTCCGAAGAATATAGATCCCAATTTTCCGATTTTTCAGACTTCCTTTTTCGGAGTTCCTACGGATTTCTGGCTTTCAGAAGATCCTCCAGAATCTCAGATTCCCTCTCCCTCTTTTTTTTCTCAAAACTTTTCAGAGAGAGAATCTTCAGAATCCCGTAACGACTACATTCCACGGCGCGTAGTTAGTAGTTCATCTGAATCAGAATGATTCATACGATTCAGAAGAAGAAGTGAAAAGAAGAAGAAGCGACAAAAAGTAGATGGAATATTACAATGAGAATAAGAGAAGAAACGCACTTAATTGACTGCTTCTTTTCTCTCTTTTCTCTCGAAAAATGAGAGAGAAAAGTTGATGACTTTTATGGGTATTAGGAGGCTATGGACAAAATAGGAGAGAAATGAAAAAAGAGATGATATGGGAATAAATAGTTTTATAGTTTTTCTGTTGATAGGTCAAACACAAGGCAGACACATAGAGGGTAAAAAATCTTGATTTTTCAAGTTTTTAATGCCGCGTTCAAAGTTGATTTCCAGGAGTATTTCCGGAAAAACGC